AAAAAAAAAAAGAATTTTTCTTCCAACCGAATAACTAATTAGTTAATATTTTTTGCGGCAAAATGATAAATAGCGAAAACCCACAAATGAGTTTAGGGCTGATTCTTAACCCAATTCACTGCAACGTATTTATTTAAGGTACCCAGGGCAAGAAACTCCAACTTACAACATCCGTCGCCGCGGCGGAGACACAACAGATTGAAGAGCAGCAAAATAGGTCCAATCTTGAAGCCGAAACCTGGGTTCTACTGAGATTAATAAACGAACTCCAATCCGGCCTGGATTGTGGATGAATTAAGGCATGTTCAAAAGCGAATTCCCCAGCGACCAGAAGTGAAAACGCAAATCTGGCCGGTCTGGAATTGAAGGGGAAATCTTGATAGAGCAGTGCGACTGGTTGTGAAAAAAAAAAAAAAAAAAAAAGGCAGATTCAGGTTACCAAGATGAAAAGGAATCTTCAGATGCTTTTGACAGTTCGCACGCTGGCTGTCAAAATTTTCCGAAGTCGAGTCTGCAATGGCAATACCATTTTACTTTCCCGACTCCCCGGCGCGTCGATCCCTGGTTTGGATAGGGGAGGAGAACTCGGAACAAACCAGAACTTGGAACCTTTTCAACTGCTATTACCATGTGTAACGAGATCAAGCCCTTGATCATTTGACAGTCACGGGAAGTCTAAGGAAGAACTCGGGTTGATCTGCCCTCCCCCTGGTCCTTGATTAGTGCGGAAATCTATTGCGAAAAGAGGTGGCTGAACAAGATACGAAGCGCCGGTTGTCTCAACCGTTCCCGTGATAATTGACGCGAATACGTGAACAATCGCAACGATGAAGAACCACAAAATGGGTTGATCATAGGGGAGGAGTACATGGAGGTGTTGTGTAGGCTGATATCCAGGGGCTTCAAGACATTATCCATTGATTGAATCGGATTCCCTGAAATGGGGAGGCTACCACTCGGATTGTTTATTTAGTTCGGGCAGATCTAGTACCGGCAGGAGAACGAGAAACGCCAGAGAAGCTGCCAAACATTATTTACCCGGCTACATATATATATATATATATATATATATGCATCAATGATAGCCTGACTGGGGCCAATACTCCAGTTAGATACATGATTCAAGGATGGCGTCTTTGATGTCAACCACACCCATGTGGATATGATGACATCTGCAACTCAGTATCTTATACTAGCTGGGAAAAGTCTCACCAACCCAGCCACAGTAGGTGGAATTATTTAAGCACGATTTAAGCACGCGCAGCCAATAGAAACCACGTTTGAGTGGGCCCTTTATCAAGCATCACCGTCAACCTGCCACCAGCCACCCCCTCCGTGATCAATACATCAATACATGGTGGTGGGATTTGAACCCACGACCACAAGTTGTTGTTGTCTCAGCAGAGGCTCTCATTTCCACGCCATCACCGCACAATTGGAGGCAGCTTCGAATTCGCAACGGAGAATTGACGGGGCTAGGAGCTACCTCGACAGGCAGATTGGGAGAAATAACATTGGGATCCCGGGTTATTTATAACCGCCCAAGCCCGAACTTGGGAGATGGAGATGGGGGGGAAGAGAGGGATGAACGACCATGGGCCTGGAAGCGCAAGAATCGAGTCGAAGCCGGGCGAGACCTTTGGTTGTTGCACCTAACAACCAACAACTGCTTGGGGCGTATGGGGCTAGCCGTTGCCCCGGCCGTTCGCCCCGGCCGTCGCCCCGGCCGTCACCCCGCCGCAAATGATGGCACACGAGCGTGCCTAATTGGATGACTTCGCTCCTCTTCCCAGGAAGAAGAGATTAAACCCCATCCCACCGCAGTCCAAACGCCGTTCAGCTGCCCCTTCCAGAAGCTCAGGGCGACGACAAGGTCGGGTAAAGCAATGAGAGATTTTGGTTTCCACGCTCCCTCCGTAAACTTTACAGCCGGAGAGAAAAAGGATTGCAGGTACTAAAGTAAAACAAACAGACAATATCCGGATCATCTTCCCATCTCCCTCCATCTTCCCTCCCTTCCCTTCCCGTCCCCTCCCCTCCCCTCCTAGCTTGATTTCCTTCCTTTTCCTGTTCTCTCTGCATTCTAAATACGGAGTACCATCATTTCCTTTTTTATTTTTTAGCCCCGGGGTCGTGGGTGGAATATTAACATCTCACCCTGAGAAATACACTTTTTCACCCTCCAGTCCCCCAAGGTTTTATAGGCCGTAATATGTTGATTGTCTTTCTGGATGCTCCCATTGAGTTTGCGTGATCCAGAGAACCTGTTGCGTTAAGTTTGTCTCCCTTCCTTGTCGGCTATCTTCCCTATCATTGCTTATTTTGAGTTCGTGATTACTCTTCACTTTTCAACGCAAAAGCATCCCTATCCCTATCAGGCGTGCAAGAAATTATAAAAAGTGGGTCAGCCTGCAATGGGCATTTATACAGTTACATGCAGAATCAGACATTCTTACTAATCACGCAACAATCTTAATATAGCTAAATTTAAAGAAAACGAGGGGGTTGGGTTGGGTTGGGTTGGTGGGGGAAAGTATGGAAAGACGACACTGAAGAGAAGTGTAGAGAGTTTAAAAAAAAAAAAAAGGGGGGGGGGGGGGGGGGGGGCGGGAAAG